TCGACCTCTTCATGAACTCTCAGATTTTTCATCGACCCCCAAAACCTTTATATGAAAATAATTTAATAACTAGTACTTTAATAATACTATGAATAATAATAGATATTAACAATGACTTCATAAAAATTAGGTAATATTTGTATTATGAAAAATGTGAGGGTTAACATACCCTTTTTTTTAAGTTAAACTGTTGATATTAATGGGAAGGATGGATCTGATGAGCGTCAATAAGGACACTGATATTTAGTTGGTGATTGGTGAGTTTTAGTGGTAAGTCACCACGCTCTTAGGTCCAAGTACAATTTGTTCCTCTGCTTAGAATTTCATTTGCAACCATGTATTGAATCCCTTTTCATTCACAGCCATTTATCGACCCCCTCTGATAGTCCCATCGACCGTTAGGGGTCGATATTGAGCACTCTGGGGAGCCCCGCTTTACCTGCATCACTCACAGTATCGCGAGAGGAACATACGTGAATATGGAGTCCTCATAACCGATACCGCAACTTATCTGACGACTTGCCGCATGTGTAGGCCACTTTGCAACGAACCTTCAGGATTCACTACCACTCACACCTGAGTGACGAATGGCTTGTGATACGCTCCAGCTGGTTTCCAGACTCACATTTTACGGAAGGAATAAACGTCACACGAGCTTCTAGATATCACTTGTTCGTCAATCACTTTTGTCCAGAAAAACCAAGATTTGACAGTATCGCGCAAGTAACAAATGCATCTATTGTCACTCTGCGCATCAGGCTGTGTTTCTGCTTGACGATTTGACTACTACCAGCAGTCTACCGTTTGTCTAATATTTTTTGCAAGTCTCTCTACTGCTTATCTGTCTGTTTTCCGTCTGTCAGTCTGGTTCATACTTCATTCTAAGTGTGTGTGTGTGTGTGTGTGTGTGTGTGTGTGTGTGTGTGTGTGTGTGTGTGTGTGTGCAAATACAATAATAAAGTTATAAATGCGAATCGTAAAATACAGTATGTTTTTCAGTAAACAACAAAATAAACATGACAGTTTATACTCTCCACGCTGATTTTTTTCAGGACAGGCTTCCATAGGCTAACCGCTCACCTAGGAAGATTAGTCGCCAGGATCGTAGCACGAGTGAAATCAGTCGTTCAGGGTCCGTAGAGTTTGAAAGCATAAGTGCCTCCAAGTTGTGGAGATTCGTTATCATGACTGTGCGCTCACCTTAACTCCTAGTCGTGCTGTGTGTGTGTGTGTGTGATATATATATATATATATATATAATATATATATATATATATATATATATATATATATATATATATATATATATATATATATATATATATATATATATAATGTATATAAACAAACACACGAGCTTTGTTATAATGTTCCTGGAATTATCTGCTGTATTATTCACGATGCCTTGAAAGGATTTATATATCTAAATTTGCTGTTTATTAAAACTAAGTTGAAGCTCATGGGCTAAATGGTTAATTACTTTAAGTTTGTGATATTTGTCAGTGATCAATTTACACCACACTGCTCAACACACCGTGTCCATTAAGACGGTAGCTGCATTAACCAGTCTGGTCGCTAACTTTTGCTGACACTGCGGGTTACACCGGGAGGATAAGTGTGTAACAGAGGGAGTTTAGGGTGGAAGAGAGAGAGCTATGGGTGGAACAGAGGGAACAGGAGTTAAAACTGAGGAGACAGAGGCGGTATGAAGAAAGCTCAGGAGATAGGCAAGTGAGGGGAAAAAGATTGGAAAGAATTAAAAAAAATATATATAAATATAGAAGTGAGGCTGAAGAGGAAGAGGAGAGGAGCAAAAGTGGACAGAGGGAAGGAGAGCAGAAAGATGATTAAAAGAGAAAAAGGAAGGAAAAGGAGGACGGAGACAAGGATAGGAAGAGAAAATGAAAGGAAAAGGAGGACTGAGACAAGGATAGGAAGAGAAAATGAAAGGAGGAAAGGAACAGATGAAGGCAAATGAGGGGAAGAAAAGAACGGTAGAGAGAGAGAGAGAGAGAGAGAGAATGTGGGATGTGGGTGGCCTTACTGTTATGTACAAGGCCAATATTGTCAAAGTACCACACTTGGATCCACTTCGAGTACAGAGTGAAACAAGCTTTTATGCCACAAGACGGGCAGAAAGCAGCAACTTCACTCTGGCTGTACCCTTCTCCAGAACATCACTCCATCTGAGATCATATATACCCAGGATGACTCGAGTATGGAACACATTCGTACAGCATAATGATGTCAACGAGATAAAGTCAGTTGATCAAATGAAAATGCTGGCCCACAGATGACTCCAATTTCATCCTGTTCCCTACTTGTATGTCTCATAACAATAAAAACGCTTTCAAATGAGCTGATGTAGGTAACAGCTCTTAGCTTGCCAATAAAGTTAGGAATCCTTAACCTTGTCAAACCCTGTGTAAAAAAAAAAAGATAGGATGAGGATAAAAAGTGGCCTACATGAGCACCTTTTTTGTCACCTGTCTATACACCGCAGAAAACACACATTTTTTCCTCCATAAGATATTCCGAAAAGTCGAGTAAGGAAGGTAACATAATAGCGCGTGCTTAAACGCAATAACTTGCGTTTGAACGCAATAACTCCTTCTTGGGTACAATAAAAAGGGATCAGATGGCAATAATGGAACAAAAAGTGCCATAACTGGTAACGAGATCACACTAACACACCGGAAATTGCAACTTCACGCGCAAGGTGCACTCCCAAGTCGAAATAACGGTGCGACATGTTGAGTAACACTCAGCGTGCAAGACGACCTTGCAATAAGTGCAACATGCAGCGGTGCAGTAACTTGTAACACAGAGTAGCGCCCACTTCATCACAATCATATATTCTTTTGATTAAAGCAACACATTTTAGAATACAATTGCGTTCAAGGTTGCAATAAAATGTTCTAGACTGTAATAACAAGTCTTATTTTGCAACATGTTATATATTGCAACACGTTAAATATATTGCAATAACACGTTCTGTATTATAACGCGATCTATATTACATCTTTTTTCTTCAGTGCAACAAGTTCTCTATTGCAACACGTTCTATATTGCAATAACTCGTGTATATATCACGTTCTATATTAGAGCATCACGGCCTAGATAGCAATATCTCCTAGACAACAGCATCATATTACACACTGCAATATTACATATCGGATTATCAACAAATGCTCTAGATTGCTATTCACGATCTAGATTGCAATATCAATAACATGTTCAATATTACAATATTTATTTCTAGATTATAATATTTGCTACATGGCAATAACACGTTACAGATATAACGTGTTATAGGTTAGTCATTAGTTTTAGGCTGCAATAGGCCGTTGTGATTTGCAGTATCACGTTACAGATTGCAATAATACATTTTACACTCCAGTGTGGCAGGAGAGTTCTAAAAAAACTTGCTTGCCAGAGATTCGAGTCCCACCCGTTCTGTGGTTTCATTAACACCTTCTGGATTGCAATAACACACTAACTATTGCAAGGACGCGTTCTAGGTTACTAGAACACATTCGAGATTGCAATAACAATTTCTGGGTTGCAGCAGTTCGTTCTAAATTGCAACGGCAGATTTTTTTTATCAACACGTAATTTATATCAGTAGGTTATAGGTTTCAATAGCATATTTTATATAGAAATAACATATTCTAAGTTGCAATAACATACAAAGATAACTTATCCAGCCAACTGCTATAATTCTTGTATAATTACAAGGGATCTAATTATATCAAGTGAAGGAGCAGAATACAGTAGCCAGCTTTGCGATACTCTAAAATTTATTGCAATTTAACATGTGTTAAGCGTAAATATAATACGACGTGGAATCGTTGTACCATGTATTGTATTTTTAAGTAACACGTGCCTGGGTACAATAATAATGACTTTTAACCTCTGACAGTCGCCCCTAAGGGAGTGCCCATTGTCTTACTGATGGCATTTGGGCATGCCTGGAGAGGAGGGGAGGTGAGAGGGGGGAGGGCGGATTGCTGACTGGTGCATGAAAGGATGAGAGGTGTTGGGGTGGAGTGGGAAGTGTTGGAGCGGGAAGTGTTGGAGCAAGGAGAGAATGGGTGGGGAGAGGGTTGGTTGGTGACGGGAGGGAGGCTGGGTAAGGAGGAGGGGAAAAAAGTGATGTCTGAGGCAAAATTGGGTTGTGAAGGAAGGGTCTGGGGTGGTGCGAATCAGCTCTTGATAAATATTTAGTGGGGATGGGCAGAGCAGAGCAAGGAAGGGTTGGGACATCATACCCGAGCATAGGGTCAAAGAGTAAGGGTCGAGAATAATTATCGATGTACTGTATTCTCTCTGAATTTATTTCTTTACATAATTGGAGTGTTGGACAAGTTACTCGTAAGTGAAAATCAGGTCATGGTGTAAATGTTGTGGGGTTGAGGTGGTAGGTTAGTTGTGGAGGTGGGGTTGAGGTGAGGACTGGAAAAGTTTTAGGGTTGATGTGGGTCTACTAGTTGACGGTATGTAACGTCTGATATATGCAGGTAAGAAGCAGGCATTATTTTTTTGTGACCCTCTAGGTCTAGTAGGACGTGTGATGGAAGGGGTGGAGAGAGTTTCAGCTAGTTGATACAGCTGAGATGTATTTTTTATATAAAATTTTTTTTACTATGACCTTTCCTATTACGACTACGACAAGGGCTACAGTTACTAGGACTACAGTTACTAGGACTACACTTACTAGGACTACAGTTACTAGGACTACAGTTACTAGGACTACAGTTCCTAGGACTACAGTTACTAGGACTACAGTTACTAGGATTATAGTTAATAGGATTACAGTTACTGGGATTACAGTTACTAGGACTACAGTTACTAGGATTACAGTTACTATTATTACAGTTACTATTATTACAGTTACTAGAACTTCAGTTACTAGGACTCCATTTACTTTACAATTACTACAACTACTATGACTACAACTACTGCTGCTTCTAGTAGTAACTAATGATTTCGAGGTTCACCCCAACGTCTTGTTCTCTCAACAGGAACAGGAACTGGTTAAAGAATCTTGTCAAGGTTCCTTCTGAAGACCCTTAAGAGTCGTAATGGTTGTTCCTCTTCCACTGGAAAAGATCCATTATTCTTATTAAGTATCTTATTAAAGTCTCCCTCCAGTATTATCAATAATTTAAGTGTTTGAATTTAAACAGGCTGTGATAGTTTTCCCTACACTCTTGACATCCACAATTTTGCCAGCCTTAAAAATGGCTGTTAGTGTGCGTCGGTACTACGGTGTATAGAGTGCAAGTACCTCAAACAGAATCACGATTGGCTTGACATCGATTGTATAGAACTTTTTGCTATGCAGCTTATCGTGTTTTCAGCTGAGATTGTATCATTACTGTGTTCCTTGAACGTAACATTTTCCTGCATAATTGCTACCCCCACCAAAGTCCCTGACTCATTTTTCACTCGATCGAGAGACTTGATTGTATTCTGTATTCAGCTCCAGCAGCTAAAACATAGCATTCACTCTCAGTGCCCCATTAGAAGACTTAATTTACATTGGCTTGGGGTTTGTGTCATTGAATGAAGTCATTTAAACGTAATTCTAGAATCTGTGAAGGCTGTTGCTGTGGGATGTGTGTGTAATACTGACATTGCAAAGTTTGAGAATGAGAGAAAGAGAAAGAGAGAGAGAGAGAGATTTAAGGTGAGTAACAGGCACTGATGTAGATGTAGTGGTGGAGGGGGAGGGGTTGAGGTTATGAGAGGGGGGGGGGTCATGCTGATGGAGATATAGGCTTTGTATATAGAAAAGGCAGATGAAAAGAAGAAATCAAGATATATATCAAGGATTTATGCTAAAAGGTAACAATGTAGCTACGTGACAAGATAGTTGAGGTCATGTTAGTGTAAGAGAAGTCTCTCCCAACCCTCCACTCATTACAGCTACACTGTACGTTTGAAAATGTAAGTGATTCCCATGACTTATAGACCAACGTTTATTGATACTTTTAGACTGAAGCAGTTTGAAGACTGCCGCTGAAAGTGCTGGTGCTAATAGTACTACTACTAGTACTACTAATAGTAATATTAGTATTAATACTAATAGTACTACTAGTACTACTAGTAGTGCTAGTACTACTAGTACTAGTACTACTACTAGTACTACCAGTACTAGTAGTACTTGTACTACCAGTACTAGTAGCACTAGTACTACCAGTACTAGTACTACTACCAGTACTGGTGCTAGTAGTACTAGTATTACTGGTGCTAGTAGTACTAGTATTACTGGTACTAGTAGTACTAGTACTACTGGTACCAGTAGTACTACTGGTACTAGTAGTACTAGTACTAATGGTACCAGTAGTACTACTGGTACTAGTAGTACTAGCACTACTGGTACCAGTAGTACTACTGGTACTAGTAGTACTAGTACTACTGGTACCAGTAGTACTACTGGTACTAGTAGTACTAGTACTACTGGTACTAGTAGTACTAGTACTACTGGTACTAGTAGTACTAGTACTACTGGTACTAGTAGTACTAGTACTACTGGTACTAGTAGTACTAGTACTACTGGTACTAGTACTACTGGTACTAGTAGTACTAGTACTACTGGTACTAGTACTAGTACTACTGGTACTAGTACCAGTAGTACTAGTACCAGTACTAGTAGTACTGGTACTAGTACTACTAGTAGTACTACTGGTACTAGTACTAGTAGTACTGGTACTAGTACTAGTAGTGCTACAAGTAGTACTACTACCACAACCGCAACCATTGCCATTTATTTTACTTTTACAAGTGCTACTCTTGCCATGCCCTGGGTGGTACTCTTGCCATGCCCTGGGTGGTACTCTTGCCATGCCCTGGGTGGTACTCTTGCCATGCCCTGGGTGGTACTCTTGCCATGCCCTGGGTGGTACTCTTGCCATGCCCTGGGTGGTACTCTTGCCATGCCCTGGGTGGTACTCTTGCCATGCCCTGGGTGGTACTCTTGCCATGCCCTGGGTGGTACTCATGCCATGCCCTGGGTGGTACTCTTGCCATGCCCTGGGTGGTACTCTTGCCATGCCCTGGGTGGTACTCTTGCCATGCCCTGGGTGGTACTCTTGCCATGCCCTGGGTGGTACTCATGCCATGCCCTGGGTGGTACTCTTGCCATGTCCTGGGTGGTACTCTTGCCATGCCCTGGGTGGTACTCTTGCCATGCCCTGGGTGGTACTCTTGCCATGCCCTGGGTGCTACTCTTGCCATGCCCTGGGTGGTACTCATGCCATGCCCTGGGTGGTACTCTTGCCATGCCCTGGGTGGTACTCTTGCCATGCCCCGGGTGGTACTCTTGCCATGCCCTGGGTGGTACTCTTGCCATGCCCTGGGTGGTACTCTTGCCATGCCCTGGGTGGTACTCTTGCCATGCCCTGGGTGCTACTCTTGCCATGCCCTGGGTGGTACTCTTGCCATGCCCTGGGTGCTACTCTTGCCATGCCCTGGGTGGTACTCTTGCCATGCCCTGGGTGGTACTCATGCCATGCCCTGGGTGGTACTCTTGCCATGTCCTGGGTGGTACTCTTGCCATGCCCTGGGTGGTACTCTTGCCATGCCCTGGGTGGTACTCTTGCCATGCCCTGGGTGGTACTCTTGCCATGCCCTGGGTGGTACTCTTGCCATGCCCTGGGTGGTACTCTTGCCATGCCCTGGGTGCTACTCTTGCCATGCCCTGGGTGCTACTCTTGCCATGCCCTGGGTGGTACTCTTGCCATGCCCTGGGTGGTACTCTTGCCATGCCCTGGGTGGTACTCTTGCCATGCCCTGGGTGGTACTCTTGCCATATCCTGGGTGGTACTTGGTCAACTGATCGTCCTGGATACCTTGAAAAGGTCAAGACTCCATGATAGAGGGTTATGAAGGTTATACTACGTGAACTGGAACAGCAGAAGAGGGATTCGTTTAGGAAGGGAATGAAAGATAGTGGAGAAGTGTGGTGAAGAGATGGAGATGGAATAGCACTGGCGTTAAGGTGAAGGAACAAGTGGAAACGAGGAAGGAGAAATGGAAGTTGAATGAGGGTTAGAGTTGGAAGGGAGGAGTGCGAGTGAAGAAAGGAAAAATGAGTTAGGTAAGGGGATGAGAATTGGGGGGCCAAAAATACGTAAAGATGAGAGGAAAAGGAACAAGCGGAGTTTATAAAAGGCTTAGGGGGCGGATAGAAGCGCCTGCCCGCTTTTAGCCAAAAGAGCAAGTGTGTCCATTTCTGCGGTACACTCTCCAAGCTGAATGTTTACTTAGCTGGAAGGGAGGGGGTTGGGGGAAACGAGCGGGGAGGAGGGAAGGGAGATGTATGTTGGAGTAAAGGAGCGATGGATGCAGAGTGGATTCGTTCTCAGCACGCATCAGCACCACGACTGACCATTTCAACAGAGTACCATCTCATAAATTTCGTGTAAGACACGCGCTAGAACAGCCAGACTGTCGCACTCATGCGTGGATCCTTGTCACTCACCATGAAGTCGCAATGTATTCCACATATTCGCAAAAATCTTTATATATGAGTAAACTTTTGACTCGTATGGCCAACATCATTTATGCAGTGGTTCAAGGAAGCAATGTTTAGAATAGCTGGTGCATCTACGTGTGTGTGTGTGTGGTTGTAACAACACTATTTATCCTAGACCCCAGTACAGCAGTTTGCTACTAATCTCAAGGAATATTAACCAGTTTCTTCTCAACACTTCTAATTTTACAACTGTGGTCTGTGGCCTCTTTTTCCCCATCTTGATGGTCCTAAGAAATCATTACTTTAACGAATTGTTGTATGATCTTTTCTTATTGGCTAACTATAGTATTTTTAGTGGTTTTTAGTTGTTTTTAACTTGTTTTTTAATAGCAACAGAAGTGTGAGTGTGTGTGTGTACACCAACACACAGTTCACACACAGTTCACACACAGTTCACACAGTACACAAATAAATAAATATAGCTGAGTTTAGTACTCCACATAAAAGTATTTTACTACTGCTAATAACAATAAAAACAATAAAATTCAGGAGTAATAAAGAATATGGTTCATTACGGGAGGATAATCCATATACTGTAAACTCACATAATTCAATAAACTCGTAAGCAAGACAGAATAAAAAAAAACATTCAAAACACAGAGAAAAAAAAATACCGTTAGGAGATTTAAAAAAAAAATCCATGACACAGACAGAAACAGACAAAAACATAACAGAAAATACACAGGAATCCAAAGCCAAACCACCACTGGATCCCAAAACAAAACAAAAATTCCTATTTGAACGCAAAGCAAACAAAAAAAATCCCAAACAAAACGGAAAATAATTTTAGATTACTGTACAAAACTATAAACCAGCTGAGCACAGAAAGTGAAGAACAAAAATCTGTGCATCAAAGAACACTCCTTCGTGTTATTCTTGAGACGGAGGTGCGTGTGTGTTCACCACCTGTGTCAGCAACTCCAGTAAATAATTAGGTTTAATATAGATTCTTTTTTTATTTTTTATTTTTTATTTTTTGGTGGGTGTGCGAGTATGTTATAGCTGTGTGGGTTAGTGCCGCTCTCCAGGATGCACTTACAGTACACACATGCCTATGTACGTGCGTATGTACATGAATTCATACATATAAATGTATACACATATGCACACTCACACGTATGTGTACACAGGACAAATTTAGGCACATGCAACAAAACCACATATACAGGATTTAAAACCTGAATCCAGCAATCCAACTCTGCCTTCACCTGTTCGAAACCCATGGAAGACATTCTAAACACATGATTTGAACCATGACTGAGAATCAGCTGGTCTGCTCAGTACTGACCACAGGTCTGCTCAGTACTGACCACAGGTCTGCTCAGTACTGACCACAGGTCTGCTCAGTACTGACCACAGGTCTGCTCATTACTGACCATAGGTCTGCTCAATACTGACCATAGGTCTGCTGAGTACTGACCACAGATCTGCTCACTATACAATACAGATCAACTCATCCTATACTACAAATCAGTTCACTACTCAGTACAGGTCAGCCCATTCCAAAAAGGTCAACTCTCTTAAATTTCGGCCGAGTTCATGCATACGTACGTGTATGCATGATTACACATAGTACATGCGTGTGTATATAAATCTCACGAAAGGATAAAAAGAAAAGTTCACACCTACGAACTTTAGTTGTTCCACAGGGTTTGAAATGCTGTATATTTCTAAATGATTTTTTTCCATGTAACTTTAAGTATTTTTTTTCTGTTATATTGGCGGTACAGACGGTCCAACCTTTGAAGTTCAGTGCTGTTCTCTTGCACTATTGACATGAGTTCATGTTTGGAAAGTTGTTGAAATGCAAGGTCATTTATACACTACAAGGTCACGTGGTCATGTAGAGTATATTACGAAAATTGATAATGGTTTTGTATACTATTATCGTCGTCGTCGTCGTCGTCGTCGTCGTCGTCGTCGTCGTCCTACTCCTCCTCCTCCTCCTCCTCCTCCTCCTCCTCTTCCCCTTTTCTCCTCCTCCTCCTCCTTTTCCTCCTCCTTTTCCCCTTTTTTCTTCCTCCTTCTCCTCCTCTTCCTTCTACTCTTCCTCTTCCCTCCTCCTCCTCCTCCTCCTTCTACTCTTCCTCTTTCCTCCTCCTTTTCTTCCTCCTCTTTTCCTTTCCTCCTCCTCCTCCTCGCTCCTCTTCCCCTTTCCACGTCGTGCTGTAGCGCATTAATCACACTGTTTATATTTACAAGATTTTTCAGATATGTAGTTAATTTGTTTGCCTCAAACACTAGAGAAAGCTGATATAGTTTTGAGTTTTGTGTAAATTTGATTATTCACTACCTTTTTTTTCCTTGACATTTTCATACCTGGAGCTTCTGAATAACCATAATTTATAATATGATTGATTGTTTTTACTTTATTATTATTATTGTTTTTATACTACTACTTTTGTTTCATTCTCTCGCTCTTTTTCTCTCTCCTTCTCTTAACCCCCCACCCCCACCCTCCCCACAGTAGTGTTTGGTTACTTGGTGCTCAAGGCACCTGGATACCACCTCCCTGAAGATTGTTTATAAATAAAGCGGAAAGGTGCACGATAGTTGTGCTACTGATACGTTAACAAGTGCAAAGGTGCGAACTGGCTGTGCCGACAGCCAGCAGTGAGCGCTTGACACTTGTGTGGCAGGAGAGCCAACCAGTGCAAGAGGCGAGTGAATTTTGCAGAGAAGTTAAAAGTGGACTGAGATGTTAGGTGGGGGCTACAGGGATGCTGCAAGATGTGCGCAAGTTACAGATAGAGGGATGTTACGAAGTGTGTTGGGGACGCTGGGGTAATTTTCTTTTTAAACCAACGTGTTTGTGTATTTTTGAACTTAAGCAAACGGAATCACCACAGTGAAATTGCGAAGTGGATACAATTCCTGAAAGCCTCTAAGCTGTCTGCCATGTATGATGTCTCTAATGACAGTAACCTAACAAAAAAAAGTTTGGCATTACTTCATGAGTCAATGCACAAACTCTCGCAAAAGATTTTTTCTAATTTTAAGTTTGTGGTTTGTCTTGTGTGGTGTTGCAACCTGGTTGAGGCAAATATTACTGACAACTTCTGGCGAAGGAGTCTGGCATGCACGATGCCATTAAGAATATGAGAGAAGTAAAGAAGGACCTTCTAAAGAAAATTAAAGGTCACGGTACAGTGGTTGGAACAAGGCACAACGCGCCCATATTTT